GTTTTCTCACCAGTTGCTTTTGCCTGAACTTAACTTCAGCCAGATTCTGTACCTTAAGTGAAATTCTCAGTCTTTTCAAATTCTCTTCTAAGCACTTTGTTACACTGGAGTTAATCGTTCATTCTTCTGATGTCCATCTTTTTCTATGTATCGCCTGTAAGTAAATTTACTACCTGCTGACATTCTTTCTTTTCCTGAAGGGAGAAAGTACACCGTGTAAAGTAGATGGTCTTGTTATTCTGGCTCCTGCATCTGATGTTACTAACTCAATGATCATTTTGTCAGGCTGCTCATTTCGTATCTCTTTGATACCTTCTAATAAGCATCACTTCACATAAGGAGTCCTTGCTTTAGTTTTGTTCCTTCTAAACAGGAGATACAGTTCTATGATAACAGTAGGCCCAGTAAGATACTGAGTTAACTAAATAACATGGATATAAAAATAAAAAGCCTAACTCTTAATCACTTGGTATTTTATTTTATTTTTGTAGCTTCAGAATAGCCCAAAACTTTAAATGGAAACTTCCATCCACACTTATTTATAATTCATAATCCAAATAAAGATTGTTTTGAACTGTATTTGTTCTGATTAGCCAAGCACTGAGGGCAAGGGCGACAACATGCACAGTGTTTTAATTGGAAATTAAAAATGCTGGTTTTATAATGTATAATAAATACATTAAAACTTTGATGAGAGGTCTTCTGATAATTTGCATATGCTGATCTGTATATTACTTGTCATATGTTTCTACTATAACTGAACTGAGAACAGCTGAAGTTCAAGTAACCTTTGAATTTCATGAATTAATTTTAAAAAAAGGTTTATATTTCTATTTCATATTCCTTAAAGACTGGTGTGTAATTTGGCAGTATTAGCCATTCTGACATTGAATAAAATACTCTTGATGCTTGGAGTCTTCCAGTCTTGTTTTATAGCCATATGTAAAAGCCATTTTAAAGCACCTGTAGCACTGTGCACCTTAAAATTACTTGTACTAGAAATGATGTAGAGAACAAGTGAACAATTGGTTATTCAAAAGGACATAGATGGAATTAGAAGAAATTGGGTTTACATGTCCTCTGGAGGACTGTCTCTGATGTTAAGTGTTCTCAGTCCTTTTAAAGATTAATCTGGAGAGGGAAGACACAGCTTAAATTTTGCTATTTTGCATTGCAGTTCAATGGTTTGTAGTTTATAAATAGCATCAGATTAGTTTGTCCCACTTTTACTTTTAATTCAGGTTTCTCAGCTTCATCAGTCTGAATCTATCAAGCTTAAGCCAGAACTTTTTATGTGTACCCTAGTATTACAGATGGGATGTCTTTGAACAGGTCATAAGGACCTTCTTCCTTACGGCTGCTTTGAAATAAACCTTATCTGTTAACTTAAAACATGTATATTTTTTTATTGAATTTTATGTGTATTATCTTTTATCTATTTACATGCTTATCTACATACATTCAGGGTATTGGAGTATTCGTAGATGATTATGCACAAATATGGTTTTGCAATGGTTCAGTTTTTACAAGCTGGCCTTGTTTTTACAAGCTGGAGAAACAAGCAGGAGAAACGGCCAGGTGTGCAGTTCTCAGAATCTTCAGAGTCCCAGTTTCTAAATAAATAAGAATCTGAAATTTCAAATAGAATCGTGGGATAGTTTGGGTTTGTTCATATCATGTAAATAGCACTAACCTGAGTTTTTCAGTATTTTGTGATTTGCTTTGAATTAAAAGATTGTTAAATTGCTTGAATTGTTAAGATCATAATAGGAATTTTCTAGAAGGAGATAATATTTTAAATGTGCAAATACCCGTTTTTAAAGATCCCTAGAAGTATTTAAACTTGCCCATTGAAAGTTGTATTTGAAAATATAACTTGGGCATTTGTTTTCATGAAGCTGTCTGTGCCTTAACTAATGTTGGAGCATGGGTCGCCTTACATTGAAGACACTTTCAAAATTGAAAACACTACTGCCATGATAATTTGCATCTCCCATATCAGTAGCATGTGATGTAGAACTTTAAATAACAGTGAGATCCTTTGTAAAATAAGGCATTGCGTGGAGTAAAGGGAAAGGGAAGAGGTCACTGAAAAAAAAGCCATTTGGCTGTCTGATTAATTTGTCTTTTTCTTTGTTTAATGCAAAGTAATTAATTACAGTATCTGTTCTTAAAATTGACAGTCCTATGTAAATTTAAACTATTATTAACTTGCATCATGTTCCATCCTTATGAAGACTTTGTAATCACAGAATTACAGACTGTTTGAGGTTGGAAGTGACTTCTGGAGGTCATCTGGTCCAAACCCCCTGCTCAGGCAGGGACACCTGGAGTCAGTAATGTTTAGAAATTAGTGTTCTTCAGCCTCACTGTTGTTGTGGCCTCCTTCTATCCACTACTTTGCCTGTAATACTCATCTGTCTGAAAAAGTTTTAACTTTAAAAGTGATCTGAGTTGCAACAATATTGGTTCCTGTGATGTTTCAGGAAACACAACATCTGGCCTTTCTGAACAGAAGTAATTTTCTGATTCATATTTTTAAAACATTTATATTGTAATGGAAGACAAATTTTTGTTTTTTCTGTTCCAGGTTTTCATGTAATGGTATTACGAACACATTCAAACCCAGAAGTGCTCATATAAATGCAGATCCAGCAGATGTGTATGAATGACAAATTTCATGCTAGAAAAATTAATCAGGAGGTTTGCTTAAGTATACATAACAATAAGACACCTTAAAACTATGTATACGTCTTATTGTTACATAAACTTTGAAACAAAAAAACCCACTCCTTCTTAGCAGATTTGGTTGATCATGGAACAGTTTCCAGAACTGCAGTTGGTTCTGTAATGTGCAATTAGGGTTCTAAATTAAAATGCTGAACTCCTTTAAAGATGTGTTTAATCATATGTGATAGATCTTGTAACATACAAAAGACCAGGTTCTATGCCCATTCCCCATGTATTAAGCTTTCTAATAAGTGGAACTTCTCTCTTGTGGAAAACAGATCTGTGAGTTAATCTGAGATGAACATGAGTTATGTAAAATCATATATAAATGAATGCCTTCCAGTGGCACTTCAAAAATCCAGAGTATTTGCCTTCCTCCAGCTGCATTTAGAATAAATGTTCTGCACACTCATTACTCAAGGATTGCATGTTGGAAGATTGACTCAAACATACTATTTTTCCTAACCTGGTCTGAATGAGAGAAACTGACCCTGACTCTTTGCTAGGGAGTTGGGATACAATGGAACAACGCATATACCTATGGGTGTATAAATGCTACCCTTCATGTCAGTAATGAATTGATAAACAATTGACAAGCTGACAAATTGCTTCCTTCTGGACTGAAAAAAAATCTAAATGTCTTAGGAAAAATATTTGCCGTGTCTGAAAATAAGCTTGCAAATTAACGCATTTTTCCTAAATTGAAAATTTCAAGCTCGTTAAACAAGGTGAAATAGTTGAGTTGAGCAGCAAGTTGGTAACTGCTGTTTCAGATAACTGCATGGGCTTCAACTGGCTCTGAACATGTAGGATGAAGCGATATAAGTTAGTAGCTTCACCAGCTTTGTGGTAACAGAGGTAAAAGGAAGGTAAGGAATCATTTCTAGTTCAGTGAAATATTCTGTGGGAAGTAACCAAAGGAACATGTAAGATATTTTTCGATGAGATTTGAGACACAGCTTGTTATAACGCATTGATACAATCCTTGTTTATGAGTCACAGGCCCAGTCTATAGACCTATTTCAACATCTGTCTGATTTTTAACATGTGGGCAACCGCCATATGAAGACTCTCAGGCATGTTTATATGGGGTGTGAGATACATCCACATTCTTGCTTGGTATTAAGACCCACAGCATTTTACTCACGTTGAATGTGGATGGAAAATTTTAAAAGCAGAGTCAGAGCTGACAGCAGCAGACTTACAGAGCTATGTGAATACACTTTTAGGATTAGTACCATAGCATGTAACACATTTTGGATATTCTTTCTGATGAGAAAAGGTATGATGGTGTTAATTTGCCACTGCTGTTTTCTACATTGGACAATGAAATGAGTTGATTGATTTCAGCTATATTAACCTTTTATTCTGAAAAACAGTAGTATGTTTGAGAACAAAGGAAAACAGTAAAAATCTTTGCAAATGCCTATTTGAGGTACTAGTTTATTTCTGCCTGTACCACAGACTTAGATTCAAAAGGTCAATTTTGTATTATGTGTAGTATGTTCTTACAGTAGAAACTCACCACAGGTCATTTCAGAAGGGAAAACTATAATTTATAAAATGGGTTTAATCATTTGTAAAGAAGACCAATAATCTCACCAGCGTGACACTGTTTAGTATAGGTACAAAGTTACCAGTACTGCCAAATCATTTGTACTCTCTTGTGCTGCTAACTTTATTATCAGTCTGATCAATATTACACAGTTGGGACATTCTTCTGCTATATACACGAAAACAATTATATTTTCCCAGCTATATTGTAATCAGATTATTTACTTTCAGAGGTCTTCAGCTTTACTGTGTTTCTTTTGTTTCTCACAGATTAATTTTTTTTTGGCGTGAAGTGGGAGGATTAGTAACTCGACTTACTTTGGAAGTATGAACATTTACCTGTAACGGTGTATTGATTCTCTGTAAACTTTGAACTTGCACTGCATCTTGTATTTAAATACAACGAAAATGGTATCATCAGCTGCTCAGTGCAGTACTGCATATTTGAAAACAGCTCGTCAAAACACCTTCTAATTAGTGTGCACTGTAATTTGCTTTTCTTTAATGCTGTTTAAGATTTTTGAAAGGAACACAATATCCCATGTTAGACCTTTTTCATGTTCAAGTCCTGATGCTGAATTTTTGCCTGCCTTCTAACCTTTGTTTCATTTCTCTGATTAATAAAAGTTAGGTCTTCTGTAATGAATTTGGATGTATGCTATTTGTCATTTAAATACAGCCTGCCTGGCACTGATGATTTATTTTACTTTTTAAAGGCCATGGTTAAAAGTTTTATGGATGTCTACCAGCTTGCAAGTTCCAGAATTGACATGTTACTGAGAGAACCAGCATCTCATCAGCTTCACACTGCAGCCCCAAAGTCCAAGATCGAAACAGCTTGTCTTCATGAAAATGAGAACCTGCAATTGGTAAGCCTGCTTTTCAGTTAGTTTTTGTCATTTGGCTGTGGTTTCCTAGCCAGCATCTCCCTTCATGCTGCAGAGTATCTTTAGGGAAATTCAATAATATTTCATTATAAACATAATAGAGCAATAAAATTTGTGTCAATAGAAACCTTCTGAGACTTTAACAGAAGAGAAAGGGGGTGGTAAAAGTTAACATGAGGATTAATTTTACTACTGTATCTTCTACAAGGACCTATTCATTGCTGCTGTCACTGGAAAATTATACATAGTGATTTCTTGGGTTTTGACAGTACAGTGAATGGTTAAAACAGAATATTATTAACTGTGCACGTAAACAAAATGTTAGGAGACGTGATGGGGGTTTTTTAAACAATAGTGGTTGTGAATAATACTTCTTGCTAAAGTTACAAGGTTAAAATCCAATTTCAGAAATAATTTTTGTTTCCTACAAAGATACTTGGAGTTTTTTAAGGCTAATAAGGTGATTCTTCAGATCTGAGAGCTCTCTCTAGGGGGATTACTGAATGCAGATGTATTTGTGTCCCACAGGCTGGAGGCCAGACATATAAACTGTCATAATTATGTAGCCAAGTATGTCTAGAATGAGACTGTGTAAGCTGTGCAACTTGCATACACTTAATGTATTTCTTCTCCATCTTTCTTTACTTTTCTATGTAGAGAAAATTTTGGAGGTGTGTTTGTTTTTTGGTAATGTTTTGGTGTTCTGTGGGGTTTTTTTCTGTTCTCCTCTCCTTCCTCCTTTCTCTTCTTTTATTCTTGTAAAAAAAAGGATCATAAAACAAATGAGGATGTTTGTCTTTTTGAAATAAAAGATCAGTAAGAAGAGAGCCGTCACTAATGCAAATTACATAAACACAATAGCAAATGTATATTCTAAGACTGTGGTTGTGGCTTTGGTTGTTTCCAACAGAATTACATTAATTTCTTATTCTGCTTCCATACTGGATCAGTACAATGGGAAATTATTGCAAATAGAAAACATAGTAATCAGTGCTGAATTTCAGTTTTCAGAGTTGAATGAAAGTTTTATTTGTGGCTGCACAACCTTTCTAAGAAACTAAATGAAATAGCTTCACTGAAATTGCTTCTTTTCTCCTCCACCCAGGCTTATTTTATGTTTTTTACTAGGTTTACATGTGTCCTGCTGAGCCTGTGCCCAGTGTAATTGGGTTGCTCCTTTGCCTGTTATGATTGGTTTTGTTGTTTAAATCAAGTTGACCACTTGTGTACTAAGGATTGGGAAGTCTGCCAAACTTGTGCAGTGAGGTTTGCTTCATTTGGGTTGAGAGAGTTTTTAGCAAAGTTATGCTAGTCCTGCCTATAAAGGGTTATACAGTGACTTGATATGTTACAGTGAAAACAAATACCTTGCTCTGCCATCTCCGATGCCTGTGGTTAAATACAGTGCTTTTAGAGTAATTTGTGTCTGCCTTTAGTATCAATGTAAAGATGATACTTTCTGCATTGTAGTAGGATCTGTTTGCCTTCCTATACAAACCTCTAGGGAAAAGAATAATTCTTCCTTTAGATGCAGTTTAATTTAAACCAAAGCATAAGCATTAATAGAAAGTGGGTTAGAATTCTAATGTAAAGGCAAAAAAATTAGAATTATACATGTTCAAGTTTCAATTTAAAAAAGTGTGCTTGTGATATATCTTGTAGTATAGTTTGGTCTTCTGTAAACCTTGCCCCTAATATTTGGATAAGTTGCATCAAGCATGACTTCAGCCTTCACAGCTTTCAGGAGCGATCAACATTGAAGTTTCTACCAATGCTGTTCTGTTCTGATTTTAAGGAATAAAGTTTGGACTAAATTTATTTCTGTAGTAAAAGAGTAGAACAAACTTTTTTGCTTGATTATTTGAAATGGAGTAATGACTTTGCTTGGGTATCTGGTTTCAGAATTGTACACACTTTGCTGATTTCAGTTCACTGTGTTCAATCATATATCCAGTTCTAGTAATGTTGCATGCAAAACTTTTCATGTAGAAGATAAATACAGCAGGTGGTCTGTATTAATTGCAGGTCTTCATATGACAGGTGCTTGTATTCCTAGAACAGTAACCTATTACTCAGGGCTGAAATAAATTTTTGAAAAGTCTTTTAGGCGTTTACCATCTGAGGACTCTTACCTCATAAGATTGGGGGTTTGCTCAGTATGTTGTGGCTGTCTTTAGATGTCTGTATGCTGGTTGCATGAAGTTCTTGCCTTCCCAACTGTCCATTGCATCCAAGTTTGAGCCATTCATGAGAACTCATCTTTTTCATGTTCAGAAGGTATTGCTTTTCTAATCGACCTTTTTTATACTGAAATTTGCTAACTATGTTGCCTATCTATTCACACCACTTTTTTTCCTCTTCTGTTGCCTTGGGTTTTGCTGATAATTGTGAAAAACAAAACTGATGCCATAAGGCAATACTAGTGATTCTGACTTCTCATCTTTTATCTAAGAATCTGAATTGACGTCTCCATCCTCCAGACTGCTTCTAGTCCAACCACTTTCTTTCTAGTCAGTAGTGTTTAGATTCTGAGGTTGTTACGTGTGCTCGTAGTAATGCCAACACAGAAGAACAGAAAGGGATATGATTATGATGGACAGAGGTGAGATGAACACTGGGAACACTGCTTACAGAGATGAGAATTATTATGTGGGCTGAAAGGGAGTCAGTAGCAGAATGTCTCTGTGCTCTTCATTTGTGTCCAGCTATCTGTCTGTTGTACTCATCTCTGATGATTCTTCCTCTGTGCAGGTAAAGGCTCTGTGCATTTTTCATTCTTGCAACTCTTTAAAATTCAGTACGGCTGAAATATAGATTATTGGTTTTCTACCTAAACTTTTTTTTTCCCCTATTGTTCCCTATTCCTGCATTACTTTTCCATTTTGCCTTTTTTTTTTTTCTTTTATTTACCAAATGCTTCTGAGATTTCCCTTACATTTCTAAAATGTTAATTTCTTTTATTTCTGTTATCAACCATAAACATTTTGCAACGGTCTTTTTTTGCAACCGTAACACTTTCAGTTCTGTGCATTTCTTTATTTTTTTTTTTAAATTATGTTCTCTGAACTGCAAGTGCCACAGTCACAATTCTGTCATCCATAACTTGCTGCATTGCCACATACTGCATATAAAAGGTCATACCTATAACTGGTAGAGATAATAATAATAATGATGATAATGATGATAATAAATAATACTTAAGCTAAGAAGGTATCATTGATACGGGTGTGTGTGTTCTTGACTGTAGGTATGTAGGTTGCCAGAGGAGGAACAGAGAAGCCAGCGGTCATCTTTAGCATGAAATAAGACAGAGAATTATTTCACTGAGCACTGAACTCATTACTGGACTGGGACTGCCATTTTCTCCTTGAAATTTGAAGAACTGTATTGTTTCCCTTTACATGCCTCTCCCTTATGGTTTTCCTTAGGAAAGACTAATGTGCTTAGAAGGTGGGTTTAGGAAGTACTTCACTGGTGGTAACTAGCTGTACACACAATCTGTATGTAAGCAAAGAAGGTATCAGCTAAAATGTTCTTTCTTTTATTTCTGTTTTCCTGCCTGTTTCTTGCTCAGCAACCTCTAGTAGTACAAACATCATGAACTAGGCTGTGCTTAGGGTTTCCTGGTAAATTAACTCTTGCCAGTTACTTTAACAGTACTGGATTATGCTGCCTTGATCCATTTTAATTCTTCAGATACATTAGTTTATTACTATACTTACATTTTCATTCAGAGTTGCAGTAGTAAGTAGGCTTTGAACTGAGAGCTTTTAAATGCTGTAGTGTGCAGTAGTAGAATTGTAAGCAATTATTCTGTGGATGCTGGGGGCAACATGTCGTATTGTATTAGTCACATGGCAAGCACATGAATCAATGGTGTCTGTGCTGCCGAAGATTTTGTTGCCGCAATCACAGCGTTGTTGAGAGTGGGTGCAGTGGCACTGTGTTTTCCAGTGTGACTTGGTACATAGGAGGAACTGGCGGAGCATTATAAAATTTCTACACAAAGTGTTTTGGTAGCTTGAGGTTTTATGCTTGATACCGGTACTGATGTCAGGATTTTAAGAATTTAAAATATTCTGGTATCAGTTTTGGCAAGCAAAAGCCACTGTTACACTGCAGGTAGTCAGGTGTTTCTCTGATTCTGAATGTGCAGCTGATCTGGTGATATTACTTCCTTTTTCTGCTTTCACTTCAAAATCAAAGGAAAGAAGAAAACAAAGGGTGAAAATAACAGTGATTTAGAAAGATGACTAAAAGAGAAAAGCTTTGTGTGCACAGGAGAAATGGGAATTTGGGGAGCCAAACTGAAAGGAGGAGAAGGTGAGTTTAAGATGGGTGAGAGAGGTAAAGTTCTGTAAGAAGAGCAGGGTTCTCTAACTAACTATGAAAACAACTGTTGTCTTTGGGTGCTTCTTCTAATTGAGCTTGAAAATTAAATTACTCATTGCTCTGTGTGGCTTTGCATCATCCTTACTTCTTCCCCCACCCCCTGCAGTTGTGGCTGTGTCTGTTCTTTGTCTGAAAATGCCTAACGATATCACTTAAAGTACTGAAAATACATAATTGTATGTTTTGGTAAGATGACATAAGCAAGGAGAATCATCTTACGTGTGGAAAATATTTATCACTGAGATGCTAGTAATTGACATACAATTGTATTTTTTTGATGAGGGACTACATTAAGCAAGAAGTACAGTTTTCTTCCTACTCAGAGCAGTTAGCTCTCAGTTCTTATGATCCACTTGAATTCTGGTCATGGAGGGGGTTAGGGAGAAAAGAAATATTAAAACCTCAAACTTTAACTACACCAGTTTCGTCCTACTTAGCCAGGCTGTTCAGGGCTGTGGTTTTACTTGTCTTTCTTCCCATACCCTTTGTTTCCTTGTCACCAGTTCAATCTGCATTTCAAGACTGAGACCTGCATCTAACAGGGATGCAATGGCTTACATTTGGAATTATGAGGACAGAGGTGGAGAGAA